CGGAAGGCTGAGGCGGAAGGATCGCCGGAGCCCAGCAGGTGAGGCTGTGGTGGCCAGGAGTGGCCACTGCACTCCAGTCTGGGCGACAGACTCAGACTCCAGCTCAAAAAAAAAAAAAAGAATGCCTAAAAGATAGTTAGCAAGACAGGACGTGTATCAGGGGATCTGGGTAATCATCGGTTCCTGAAAAAAGTAAAAGCCCCCGGGAGCCCCACAGGCTGTGCCCCAAGGGAGTGTCGAGGGGTGAGGCCCAAGCAAAATGGCTGTGCTGATTCAGAATGGCTAGTTATATCCTAAACGTCTAGGGGTCCCTCCTTTCAAGATCATTCTGTCTTTGTAATTGTCTGATCGCTGTGGTGTTTTCACTAGAAAGCCAACATGTAATTTTTTTGTTTTGAGTTGGAGTCTCCCTGTCGCCCACGCTGGAGTGTAGTTGACCTGCCGGGCTCCGGCGATCCTTCCGCCTCAGCCTTCCAAGTAGCCGGAACTACAGGCGCGCGCTACCACACCTGGCTGATTTTTGATTGATTGTAGAGATGAGGTCTCGCCAAGTTGCCCGGACGGGTCTTGAACCTGCGGGCTCAGGCGATCCACTCGCCTCAGCCTCCCAAAGTGCTGGGACTACAGTAGGCTGAGCCACTGAGCCCGGCCAACATGTTATTACTGTAGAGTGACTCCAGCAACCCTAGACACACTCCCGGGAGACAGTCTGTCCGGAGTCCACCCACCTGGGTCCGAGCCCAGGTCTGCCGCCTACAGCTGCCGCAGCCAGGACAAGCCCATGTTGGCCTCGCGCTTTCATCTGAGGAGTGGGCTAATGGAAGCTCGAGCAGGGGTGGCTGTGAGACGGAGACGAGCCTCATTGCTCTGCGGGCTGGCAGGGCCCGAGGCTGTGCTGTGGCTGAATCACCTGTGCGTGCTCTGTCACCCCCGCCCTGCTGTCCCGGAAGCACCACCAGCGAGGGCACCGTGTGCAGGGTGTGAGCTCTCCGAGGACATTCCTTCCTTTTAAGTGAGCTCCACCCCTACCTGGGCACGCTGTACCTGATAGGAGAGTGTCCGCCCTCCGCCCTCCGCCCTCCGCCCTGTTTGTTCTGAGCAACATGTCCTGGACGTCCCTCCAAGCGGTAGATGCAGCTTTGACTCACTTCCTTCAACAGTTGCACAGTATTTCATAACATGACTCAGCTGGGCGGGGCATGGTGACGCATACCTCTAGTCCCAGTTACTTGGGAGGCGGAGGCAGGAGGATGACTTGAGCCCAGGAGTTTGAGGCTGTAGCGAGCTCTGACTGTGCCACCGTATGCCAGCGTGGGCGACAAAGCCAGACCCCATCTCAAAACAAAACAGTACGTCTCAGATGTCTTTCTAAGTAGCAGGTGTAGATTTATCTCAACTTTTCAACAGCTACGTGGCATTTTATTTTTTTGTCTTATAGAGACGGGATCTCATTTTGTTTTC